CCCGGGCGCCAGACCAGAGCTGCCCCAGCCCTCGCAGCAGCTCCGGGGCCTCCTCTGGCCTCACTCCAACAGGTCCACGTCCCTCTTGTGCTGGGCAAGTAGCACAATTATATAGTGGCTACTCAAGTCAGCTCCCAGTTTTACAGCATTTAATCTTCCTATTTCAATAGTTTGCTGGTTACTTTAATACATTGACTCCTACAGGAGCTTTGTTTAACCCATGTATGTGTATGAAGTGCACATTTTTATTAAAACTTACTATGACAGACTCAAACCCAAAGCTTTAAAGCAATGACAGCTTTCAGAACTGGGATGCTTTTTGCCATTAGATTTGTTTCTCTTCTTAAGCACCCTAGTAAACAAAATGCATTCATTTTACAAGTCTTCAAACCCAAAGCTTTATAGCAATGACAGCTTTCAGAACTGGGATGCTTTTTGCCATTAGATTTGTTTCTCTTCTTAAGCACCCTAGTAAACAAAATGCATTCATTTTACAAGTCTTGAACTATGTAGGTTGTAGAACAGACAAGGGATGTTAAATTGGAGTGTCCCAACATGAACAAAGAATCCCAAACTTTTAAGTATTTCCAAAGAGTAGAGCAAATCAGAGCTGGTTCAAACTGGTGATATGATAGCCTTTAAGATGATTTAGATGAAAGGGGCAGTGTTTCCAACTCAGCCATTATCCTTCTCTTAAACTTAATATCTTTCTTTGGCCAGGAGATGGAGATAAACTCAGGTTGGCAAAAAAGGCGGGGCGGAAAGGACAGACAAGCATCTAACAAGAGGAGAGTGAGGCATTTCTTATCTTCCAAAGACTGAATCATCATGGTTACCTGTAGTGTAGGCCACAATAAAGCTGAAATGTTTTCTTCCTTCACAACCATCACTTCAATGAACCTCAAAATTTTTGGGCTATTTGAAAACTAGCTGAAAACACTGCAGACTATTAGCACACTGAGGGGAAAACAGGAAAAGAAAACACTGCACCTCTTACTCTGCATTTCATGAGCTTTATAACTTTCCATATTATTGACAGAAATATTTTGTTATATGTAAACACTCAGCAAATATTTACCAATGGTCAGTACTCTGAAATATGTAGAATCACAGAATCACAGAACAGTTTGGGTTAGAAGGGACCTTAACACTTATCCAGGTCCAATCCCCTGGTGACCCCAGGGGCACCTTCCACTAGAGCAGGTTGCTCCAAGCCCCTGTGTCCAACCTGGCCTTGAACACTAACAAAAAACAAAGAGGAAAACCCCAAGTACAGCCAAGACCAGGAGGGGAGGTTACGCTGCCCATCGGCACCAAGCAGCAGTGCCACAGGTATGCAAACCCGGAACTGGAGAATTTTAGTGCATCAGAAGGTATACATGAGATAGCCAGGTAGCCAACTGACAAACCATTATCTGACAGCCTTGAAAACCCCTCTTTACACTAAGGAAAGAAGTAAAAACACATCTTACCTTGTATCTCATTTTGGGGCATGAATGAATGTAGAAACCCATGTAATAAAAACAGAGATCAGGAGCTTTCTCATGGAGCTGCCTGGTAAAAGCGATTTCTCTGTGAAAGGAAAGACTAATTACTTTTGAACACAATTCTTACACTCATTTTACCTCTGCATATTGAAATACTTCACAGTCACCTGGCTCATGACCTATCTAGAGAACTAGGTTTCTATGAAATAAAAAATAAAGATGATAAACCTAATGCTTGAAAAGTTAATAAACTAAAAATTAATGCTTAAAAACAACTAAATATTTAGTTAGTAGGATGCTTACATGTACTGAAAAAACAACATTTCAGTTGCACGCAGTTTGCTGAGAGCACCATGAGTTCATTTTAACTCCGTATCTACATTACATTTGTTCAAGAGGTGAAGAATGTCTAGAAATAAGTTACTCTGTATCTGCAAATGCAGGTAAATACAACAGGTTCCAAAAGTGAGGTTTATGTACTACCAAACTGTGCAAACATGCACTTCACACAGATAATCTTTAAGACATGGCATGAAGTTAAATGACTTTACTGTTTCATGCAGATTATCCTGGACCTAATTAAATACTTTTCTGCAATTCAAAAAGCTGGAACACTACAGGGGAAAATGATCTTTGCATTTCAAAAAACTCCTAACACTATT